CTCGTCTGAAGTATCACAGAGGGCTCGAATGTTGCGTGGATGGAAGGAACGAGGATGAGAGAAATCTTCGTTAACCCTTTGATTTGTAATAAAGAGTTAGAGTCTTGGCGCAGGAAAAGGAATTTTAACCCTTTCGATACGGCTGTGTCGTTCGCGACTATGTTTCCGATATGAGGTTAGGTTAGTTAGGGCTCGGGCTGAAATTTCACACAGACGTTAGTTCCATCCTTACTAACGTCTAGAAATTGTAAAAGTCCAACAGCAAAAATCTTTACCGCCAAGGTGGGGTTCAAGCATGGTCGGGCGTCCTCGCTCATTCTCCGGCTTGTTCTTCGGTTGGTGGTTTCGATGGAAAGTACTGGTCTGACAGGGGTATAAGCTACAAAACTGAGGCACCCTGAGTCCTTCTAAGGACGACCCGCAATAGTAGGTTAGTTACGGGTCAGTTACAACGCGAACGTATATTTTGCCGCGGAGGAGATGCAGGACGGGATGTAATTTGGAAATATTCAGATTTTGAAAATTGTTTAAAAATTGTTTACTGTGGTGCACAGCAAACATTAGACGTTGGGTGACTATAGTCGTGAATAATGTTTGGTTAGTTAGGGGTTAGTTACAACGCGAACGTATATTTTATCGCGGAGTGGAATGTACTTTGAAAATATTCGGGTCTTAAAAATTGTTTATGGTAGTACACAGCGAACATCAGACGTTGGGTGAGTATAGTCATCTGCAGTACACGGCGAGCGTCAAACGAAAGGGTTAATTCCAATTTTCGATTTAATTTGTAAAACTGAAGATTGCCAAATTTGATTAATTTAGAGTACATCAGCTTTCTCTACTTAACACTTAACGCGCCGGCTATTCCGTTGGAAACTTGACTTAAAGCGGCGCAATATTTACGAGTTTTGTAGAAACATGCACTTTCACGAAATAAAATAAAACAACTCTTGTAAAACTTCTGTTGAGAAATTGTTGAGTCGAGCAAGCAATGACGCGGTCTTTTGTTTTAGGGCCTCTGGCCGCGTGGCTCGCCTAGACGAGTCAGTCTAAAGTCTTATGTCTTGTATTGTACGTCGTCTAATAATGTGAAAGAATAGTTCGATAAATATAGCAACAAGTATAACAAAAATCTTGCATAGTGCTTATTACAGGCACAGCGGCCATTTTTAGTGATATAAGTATTCAGCCAGTTGCTGCATAAACATTTAGGTGGGCTTAAAGTGTTAATATAGTACTGAAACAGTAAATGGCAGGCGCTTAGGTGCACAGTCAAGAAAAGAAATCATACGTCAAGAGGTTAATATCGTGGATTTTTTCCATCCACGGTTTGGATACGATTCTCTTAGAGAGAATCGAGTTTTCCTCGAGGAAAAGTATTATAGTTTACTTGACGTTGGGAAAACGCGAGAGATGGGGCAAGGTGTCGGTTAGTTTTTCAGAATTCCACCTTGCAGATGGTCACGTTCCGGAATTTCTTCGGCCGCGAACCTTCCACGGTGCTTGAAATTCACGAGATCCGGCCAACTTCTACGCGATTTTTGTTCTCCCGCGCGCACCTAACTTCGCCTGCAGAAAGTTTCACCCGGAAGTTCTTTCCTCGCGGGAGGTCATGGGAAAAACGAGGGCCATCGCCATCGGCGAACCACGCAGGACATCTCGTTTCATAAACGTTACCTCTTTTCGACTTTTCGATGCGTTACTTCCTCCTACGTGTCGCGCGTGGTTATCGTCGCAGAGAATATTCGCGGAATCTGGATTCTCTTCGGCTCTGTTGCTACATTTTCCTCGCTCATTTTGGACATTCCTGGGAGACATTCAGTCATTCAAATCCTTGGGCTAACATGCGTCCATCAATCATGTTATAAGCTCGAGGATAATCTGTCCCGAACACTCTTCTTTCGCGCCGTTGATGGTCTAGAGGAAGTATAGTCGGTGGAAGAAATATAGCCAGGTCGAAAATTAATGTGCCACTCAGAGGCGAATGTGGTGCTTTTTATTTCTCGATTAAGACTGAATTAGAGTTAACCCTTTGATAGTTTATCCCGAGTGAGACACAGGAAGTGCGTTAAATAGGGAAGAGTTTAACTCAGGAGAGACTTTTAGGGAGAAAGTTAGAAAAGGAGGAGATATTATTGTCAGAGATGTGATTTAAAAATAATCACACATGACGTGATTATTGAACAGATACGCGTGAAATATGAATTTTCTTTACTCTAATTCGTGATTGTATTAGACTGTCAAAGGGTTAAGGCATATTGCACGCGACCCTAATCCTTATCTTCTCAGATCTCTGTCGATTTTCTCGCCGATACGCCGAAACGTGTAAACTTTAACGCTTGACCAATTTTAGGATTTCATTAGAATATTTCTTCCATTGACTATACATCCCTCACACTTTCCTATCTCTGGCCCAAACATCCTTCGATCACACTTGACACTGTAGCCTACTCTGACTCGTTACAAACATTCACACGAAACTTCCATCTCCCAAAATCCATAAAAGCTTAAAGTGTTACTCTCTTATCTGTGTTGATTTTCTCGCCAGTAAGCTGAAACATGCGTAACCA